AGGCTTTTTTGTTCCCCTTCATTTTCTGCCATAGGGTGGTGTCACCTGCATATCTGAGGTTATTGATATTTCTGCCAGCAATCTTGATTCCAGCTTGTGCTTCATCCAGCACAGCATTTAGCATGATGTACTCTGCATATAACTTAAACAAGCAGGGTGACAATATATAGACTTGATGTACTCCTTTCCCAATTTTGAACCAGTCCGTTGTTTCATGTCCAGTTCTAACTGTTGCTTCTTGACCCACATACAGATTTCTCAGGAGGCAGTTCAGGTGATCTGGCATTCCCATCTCTTGAAGAATTTTGCACAGTTTGTTGTGATCCATACAAAGGCTTTGGCATAGTCGGTAAAGCAGAAGTGGATGTTTTCCTGGAACTCTCTTGCTTTTTTGATGATCCAATGGATGTTGGCAATTTGATCTCTCGTTCCTCTGCCTTTTCTAAATCCAGCTTGAACATCTGGAAGTTCTCGCTTCACGTACTGTTGAAGGCTGACTTGGAGAAATTTGAGCATTACCTTGCTAACGTGTGAGATGAGTGCATTGTGTGGTGGTTTGAGCATTCTTTGGCATTACTTTTATTTGGAATTGAAATGAAACCTGACCTTTTCCAGTCCTGTGGCCACAGCTGAGTTTTCCAAATTTGCTGGCATATTGAGTGCAACACTTTCACAGCATCATCTTTTAGAACTTGAAATGGCTCAGCTGGAATTCCATCACCTCAACTAGCTTTGTTTGTAGTTATGCTTCCTAAAACCAATTTGGACTCTATGATGTCTGGCTCTACCTGAGTGATCACACCATCATGGTTATCTGGGTCTTAAATCTTTTTTGTTAGTTCTTCTTTGTATTCTTGCCACCTCTTCTTAATATCTTCTGCTTCTGTTAGGTTCATACCATTTCTGTCCTTTATCATGCCCATCTTTGCATGAAATATTCCCTTGGTGTCTCTTATTTTCTTGAAGAGATATCTAGTCTTTCCCATTCTATGGTTTTCCTCTGTTTCTTTGCACTGATCACTAAGGAAGGCTTTCTTAACTCTCTTTGCTCTTCTTTGGAACTCTGTACTCAGATGGGTTTATCTTTTGTTTATTCCTTTGCCTTTAGCTTCTCTTCTTTTCTCAGTTATTTGTAAGGCCTCCTCAGACAACCATTTTGCCTTTTTGCACTACTTTTCCTTGAGGATGGTCTTGATCCCTGCCTCCTGTACATTGTCACGAGCCTCCATCCATAGTTCTTCAGGCACTCTGTCTATCAGATCTAATCCCTTGAATCTGTTTATCACTTCCACTGTATAGTCATTAGTTAAGTTCAAGTGCTCAGTTGTGTCTGACTCTTTGTGACCCCATGGACTGCAGCACACCAGGCCTCCCTGTCCATCACCAACTCCCAAAGTTTACTCAAACTCATGTCCATTGACTAGGTGATGCCATCCAACCATCTCATCCTCTGTTGTCCCCTTCTCCTCCTGCCTTCAATCTTTNCCAGTGTTTCTCATGATGTACTCTGCATATAAGTTAAGTAAGCAAGGTGACAATATACAGCCTTGACGTACTCCTTTTCCTATTTGGAACCAGTGTGTTGTTCCATGTCCAGTTCTAACTGTTGCTTCCTGATCTTCATACAGATTCCTCAAGAGGCAGGTCAGGTGGCCTGGTATTCCCATCTCTTTCAGAATTTTCCATAGTTTATTGTGATCCATACAGTCAAAGGCTTTGGCATAGTCATTAAAGCAGAAATAAATGTTTTTCTGGAACTCTCTTGCTTTTTCGATGATCCAGAGATTGTTGGCAATTTGATCTCTGGTTCCTCTGCCTTTTCTAAGACTAGCTTGAACATCTGGAAGTTTACAGTTCATATATTGTTGAAGCCTAGCTTGGAGAATTTTGAGCATTCTTGAGAATTTTGAGTATAATCATAAGGGATTTGACTTAGGTCATTTCTGAATGGTCTAGTGGTTTTCCCTACTTTCTTCAATTTTCTGAATTTGGCAATAAGGAGTTCATGATCTGAGTCACAGTCAGCTCACATTGGTTTTGCTGACTGTTATAGGGTTTCTTCATCTTTGGCTGCAAAGAATATAGTCAGTATGATTTCGGTGTTGTCCATCTGGTGATGTCCATGTGTAGAGTCATCTCTTGTGTTTTTGGAAGAGACTGTTTGCTATGACCAGTGTGTTTTCTTTGCAAAACCCTGTTAGCCATTGCCCTGCTTCGTTTTGTACTCCAAGGCCAAACTTGCTTGTTACTCCAGGTGTCTCTTGACTTCCTACTTTTGCCTTCCAGTCTTCTTTGGAATACAGTACTTGGGTGCAGTCTCAGAAATAACAGAATGATCTCAGTTCATTTACAGAGCAAAGCATTCAATATCACAATAATCCAAGTCTATGCCTCAACAACTAATGCTGAAGAACATGAAGTTGAATGATTCTACGAAGACCTACAAGACCTTCTACAGAAAACACCAAAAAATATCCTTTTCAGCATAAGGGACTGGAATGCAAAAGTAGGAAGTCAAGAGATACCTGGTGTAACAAGGAAGTTTGACCTTAGAGTAGAAAATGAAGCAGGGCAAAAGCTAACAGAATTTTGCCAAGAGAATGCACTGGTCATAGCAAACACCCTCTTCCAACAACACTACTCTACACATGGACATCACCAGATGGTCAATACTGAAATCAGATTGATTATATTCTTTGCAGCTGAAGATGGAGAAGCTCTATACAGTCAGCAAAAGCAATACCTGGAGCTGACTGTGGCTCAAATCATGAACTCCTTATTGCCAAATTCAGACTTAGATTGAAGAAAGTAAGGGAAACCACTAGACCATTCAGGTATGACCTAAATCAAATCCCATATGATTATACAGTGGAAGTGATAAACAGATTCAAGGGATTAGATCTGATAGAGTGCCTGAAGAGCTATGGATGGAGATTCATGACTTTGTACAGGAGATGGGGATCAAGACCATCCCCAAAAACTAAAGAGCCTCTTGATGAAAGTGAAAGAGGAGAGTGAAAAAGTTGGCTTAAAACTCAACATTCAAAAAAGTAAGATCATGGCATCTTGTCCCCTCACTTCATGGCAAATAGATGGGGAAACAATGGAAACAGTGACAGACTTTATTTTTTTGGGCTCCAAAATTACTGCAGATGTTTATTGCAGCCTTGAAGTAAAAGATGCTTGCTTCTTGGATGAAAAGTCATGACAAACCTAGATAGCATATTAAAAAGTAGACACATTACTTTTCCAACAGAGATCCATCTAGTCAAAGCTATAGTTTTTCCAAAAGTCATGTATAAATGTGAGAATTGGACCATCAAGAAAGCTGAGTGCCAAAGAATTGATGCTTTTGAACTGTTGTGTTGGAGAAGACTCTTGAGAGTCCCTTGGACTGTAAAGCAGTCCAAGGAGATGAAACCAGTCAATCCTAAAGGAAATCAGTCCTAAATATTCATTGGAAGGACTGATGCTGAATGAAGTTGAAGCTCCAACTTCATTTGGTCACATGATGCAAAGAACTGACTTACTGGAAAAGACACTGATACCGGGAAAGATTAAAGGCAGGAGGAGAGGGGGACAACAGAGGATGAGATGGTAGGATGGAATCACTGACTCAATGGATATGAGTTTGAGCAGGCTCTGGGAGTTGGTGATGGACAGGGAGGTCTGGCGTACTGCAGTCCATGGGGTTGCAAAGAGCTGGATATGACTGAATGACTCAACTGACTGACTGACTGATTGATGTTGTATCATATTATGTTAATATTGTATCTTTATTCCCCAATTACATTAAGCTCACTGATGCAGACAGTACATGAATAGGGACTGTCTCATATATCTCATACCTGTTCCATAATACCACCCAATATGCAATGTATAGACTCAGTAATTTCAGAGAGGAAAGTTTGAGGCAACGCACCTAAAAGATTTTCAGTGGCAAAAATGACTTGAAATCAGGTCCCACACACTCTACTTTCAAGAGTGAGTTCTTGGATGCACTCAGGAGAGCCAAATAATCTCACCTGTTTATCCATTTCCTCCATGAGGACTTCCACTGATGACAGTGAATCAAGAGGAGACCACAGCACTCAGAGCTGCTGCTACATTATCTCAGTGATGTTATCCTTCTTAGGATTTCTCTCTCATAGGATCATGCTTTTCTTAGCTAGGAAGGCTGGGTATACTGGGCTTTTTTTTTTTTGCTGTACCCCAGGGCAAAGAGAAATGCACAGGAATCTGGTGAGACTGACTTTGACTTTTCTGCCTAGAGATGTACTGCGGCCATATTCACTCTATTGTGAATGGCATGTCAGGAATATCTACATGGTTATCTAGCAGGAATTCACTTAGGAGATGAGGCAAACTATACCTTGTTCTAGGGACCCTAAATATGTCTGTGGCTTCTAACCCATCCTTATCCCCATTGCTACTAACCCTACATAAGGACAAAGTATTTAGTCCTTCTCAAATACTTGCATTATTGTCTTATTCTAATCTTTTCCTAACTGACTTTTCTTTCTCTGCCTAGGGTATCCTTATCTCTTTAAGGGTGAAGAGAGGAAAGGAATGCTTTTTACTATCATCATTCACTTTTCACAAATTTGAAGTTTTGGGAACACATTTTGATTTTGATACTTTTGAGATTCAAAATTCTTTTCTTCTATTTCTCGGTCATAAATTTAAAAAATTTATTTAAAAAAGTACAAAGATTTCCTGGTTTCTGTATTTCTGCTATACCAAATCTACACAACCAAGGGAGAAGGGTGTATATTACCTTCACTGATGTCTGAATTAGGGAGACAAGTGGCAGAACCAAGGGTGGGAACAGAAGGAAGAGAGAAATACTAACCTCAGTTAAGATGGCAACACATTATCAGTTGACACAGGTTGTTCCCGTGTTATTGGGCATGAAACATGATCTGAGAAATGAAATTAAAAAGGCCTCAAACATAATACAACATGGTTCTAGTCAGCTCTGAGACGAAAGACAGACAAAATTTCAATAAAAGAAGGATTTATTGCTTCCATGGTGACATGGGATCAGGGTCACTAGAGATTAGGTAATTGGGTGGAATACTGCAGCAATTCCATGGTATAAAACTAATGAGAAGAGAAAGGAATATCACATAGTCAGGGCAAGAAGTCTAAGGTATATGTGAACTCTGAGGTGATACAGCATCTTATTTCCCAGAGAGGAGGTGAGCAGAGGAGGGCAGAAGGAGAAAAGGTACATGATGAACTTGGCCAGAAAAGAGTTCTAGGTCATCTAGTATGTCCATTTTTCTGTTCTTGTAGATGGACAGTTCACCTGCAACAGGAAAGACATGAGATCAGTGGGTTCCAGGAAACTCCTTTGCCATCATCATGCTGTTTCCCAATTCCACAACTTTCAACCACATTTGTGTCCATAACCTCTTCCCATTTTCCCTTGTCTGTACTGTGTCCCCAGATCAAACAAATCTGAATCCTTACCTTCCTACTGAAGTGTGACTCATAAGGGCCCCTGGTGTCTGGAGACCCCACTTGAGCGCAGACCTCGGATGATGAGGACAGTGCCCACCACGATGCCCACAAGGCCCACGGTCAACCCCAGGGCACAGACCACAGTCTCTGTCAGCTCAGACATAGGGGCTGGAATCTCAGGCTCTGTGAAAGTGAAGTTGTGGAACTCTGAACACAGTGTTGGTTCATGTGCAATATATGGGGTCGGGTAGCGGGGTGGTGTTCATTCTGTAAGACTCAGTGCACCAGGCTTAGAGCAGAGGATGAAGTATATCTTTAGAAATCCTTGAAGTGTGGAAAACAAGCTTTGGACCATGAGATTTAGGGATTAAAGGCAGGATGTTTGTGTACTTGACAGAGAAGAAAAGGTACCGAAAGTGGTGAAATTTGTACATACCCCAGTGTTTGAGCAGTGGCTCATCCAGGCCCCAGTGCTCCACTTTGCAGTCGTAAACATCATCATCAGAAGGGAGGAAGGTGAGGTAACCAATCTTGAGGAAGGAAAAATCACTTTTGGGGAGGAAGCTGGTCTCAGAAACACCTTCTGTGACAGAGTGTCCATTCCTCAACCATGTGATGTTGATCACAGGGGGAAAGATGTTGTCCACGTGACAGATGAGGATGTTGGGCTGACCCAGCATCACTGGAGACTTGGAAAACACAGTCACCTCAGGAACCTCTATGGTGAGGAAACAGCACAGATGTGAAACAGGAATAGCTTGGCCCTGATTCTGCACTGCCTCCTGGGGGAGCCCTCCCACCAACGGTTCCCAGTCTGACAGGGGAGGAGCTCTTGCTTGCCTTCTGCTGGGAGATGCTATGCGCTGCCCGCGCTTTATGCCCGTGCTGTCTGTGGGCATGCTTGTTAAGGAGGGGGGTCTGTGGGACTCCTCCTTGAGGGATTCAAGAAGTATGTTATGGGAGTAAGGGTCCTTATATTACATGGAAATATGTGATCTTTGAGATGGGAGAGGATGAGTATTCAGTAATTACTACGAGACCTGGGGACTCTTGGAAGAGTTTTATAGAGTGGTGAAGGATATCTCTCCTTAGAGAAGAAGGGAGTGAAGCCTGATATGAAAGAATAGATTCAGAAAAGAGAAGTAGAATGGCGGACACTTACCATTGATAGCAGGGGTGAAGTTGGAGCGTTTAGTCATGACATCCAAGTTGTGTTTCGATTTAACTATTTCACTCAGTGCACCCTGTGGGTCAAAACTTGTCAAGTCACCAAACATAGGCAGCCTCCAGACTGTCTCCTTCTTCCCCAGGTCCACATAAAATAGCTCATCTCCATCAAATTCATGGATGTACTGGCCAGAGGGACCATGAGATTGGTAGAAGTCTGCGCCGTAGATGCCAATGTGGTCAGCTGATAAGTGAGGGTGAGGAGCAGGAAGGTGGAAAACAGAGGGAAAGAAAAGACCATATTAAACAAAGCAACAGAAGAGATTAACTTTCAAAGACTGTGGGGATCATCTTTAGCACAGAGTCTCTAAGCAAAATTCCCAGTATTGGCTTCCTTTCCCCTCAGTGTTGGTAGCTGTCCTGTTAGAATCTAGGCTGTTTTTGCACTAGAACATATGCTTACAATGGCAGATTTCACAGGCCCTGTTTATTGCTATTTCCTTTGTCCCCAGCTCAGATCCTGGCACACTGTAGGCTTGTAATAAAGATTGCAAGGTAAAGAAAAAAGAAAGAAAGGAATGAATGAATTATCCCAGTATTGGTATACTTCCTTCTTCTTCATTAGTTTTCTCTGTCACTTAATTCTTTCACCACTTAATAACACATCCATTATGATTCTTTTCCCCTCAGGACTGACTCAGAGCAAGATGTTTTCTACACAGGATTCATTTCTTATATTTTTAAGAAGGAAAAGCACAGAAGATCTCATTATTTTAAGAGTTTCTTCTAACTGTTACAGGGTATAAGGAAGAGTATGACAAGGACAGTGAAAGTATTACAAAATATTATATACAAAGAATTAGCAATGTTTCTGAGTTGGCTGTTTTGTTAACAGTGAGAAGTAAAAGTGTAGTCACTCAGTCGTGTCCAACTCATTTCGACCCCATGCATAAGGTTATTCTATCCTTGGGATTCTCCAGGCGAGAATATTGGAGTAGGTTGCCTTTCCCTTCTCCAGGGGATCTTCCCAACCCAGAGACTGAACCTGGGCCTCTCACATTGCAGGCGGATTCTTTATCATCACCAGGGAAGTAGTGATCCTTAAAGGAGAGTGACTGATTCCTTCTGAAATAAAAAATGGAAGTTTTATTTTGGATTTCTATTTCCCATGCCTATTTTTCTTTCTTTCTTTTTTTTTTCTAGTAACCTTAAGGAGGTTACTAAATGTCTCCTTTTTTTGACTTAATACATATTTGTTGAGGACTCAAGGCAAACTGGGGCTTCCCTGATGGCTCAAATGATAAAGAACCTGCCTGCAATGCAGGAAATCTGGTTTGGGAAGATTCCCTGGAGAAGGGAATGGCAACCCACTCCAGTATTCTTTCCTGAAGAGTTCCATGGACAGTGGAGCCTTGTGGGCTACTGTCCATGCGGTCACAAATGGTCGGATGCAGCTGAACAACAATCACAAGGTAAACTATGGCCCTTTTCTTCAAATGGACAATGTACTTCTCTGAGGATGCAAAAGCAGATTGACTCTGCCCAGATGAGCCTAACTGGACAATTTTGTCCAGACACATATGAGCCTTTTATCATTTTCTCTCCTTCCTTCCTCATTTACTGAGCATCAACAGAGTTTCAAACATTGTTAGAGACAAAGAGTAAAACATCAATCAGGCATGATCTCTGCTCACAAGAAGAATATTGATTAATGGGAGAGTCAGGGGAGTAAAACAGCAAGTACAGTGTACTGTTATGATTTCTGTGATGGGTATATCCAAAACCATCATCTGATCTCATCTGTCAATCAAACTAAGTGAGGTTTTCCTTTTATGTTCCTTGGTTTTTGTAGGCATCTGTGTTTCCCCTGAAATGAAATGATATTTTAGGATTTCCTGGCCACCTCCAGTTCATTCCTGAAATTTCTGCTTAGCTACCAACTATTTTAGCTAAGTTCTTTCATTACACACGTTTTGATCCCGTTGTAACCTCCAACCTCCCCATCCCAATGTCCTGCTTTAAAGTCAGTCTATACTCAGCATGATGTTCTTGGTTGATCACTTAAAAGGATTTCCAATAATGCCCCCTTTATTGGAAGGAGGCTTCCTTCCTTGACTCCTTTCCAAACATAAATATATGCAGTTCTTCTCTTTTTTTATCTAGTGCTTGTCCTGGGCTGGCAACACTGAAGTACATCACACTTCTGTGTCAACTGGAACCAATTTACTCTTATAGCTTCAGCCTCAGGTGGATCCATTGCTCTGCTCAGCAATGCTCCTGCTTTTCTGCACTATTTTCTTAGCATTACTAATTTTCACACCCTCGATGGGGCAGACAGTTTATCTTTTCATTTCTGAATCCCTCAAAACTTAGCTTGCTATGTGCTCAAAATGTGTACAAGTGTCAGTTACTATTCTTGAGGCTCTCAGAGGCTTTGAGGGAGACTTACAAACACATAGGTAGCAGAATTATAAGACAATCTGATCAGCAGTGACCAGGGCAGCAATAAAACTCATGAGTCCCTAAGCTGAGGTAGACTTTCTTCTATAAAAATACCAAAAGTCATATTTTATGATCATACTGGTATAAAGACAAGCATGTAGCAGCAGCAGCTGCTGCTGCTGCTAAATCGCTTCAGTCGTGTCCAACTCTGTGCGACCCCAGAGATGGCAGCCCACCAGGCTCTGCCATCCCTGGGATTCTCCAGGCAAGGACACTGGAGTGGGCTGCCATTTTCTTCTCCAATGTGTGAAAGTGAAGTTGCTCAGTCATATCCAACTCTTAGCGACCCCATGGACTAGCAGCCTACCAGGCTCCTCCATTTGTGGGATTTTCCAGGCAAGAGTACTGGAATGGGTTGCCATTGCCTTCTCCAAAATCATAACCTTGGCTAAATTAAAACATTTTCTTCTTTATTTTTTCTTTTCTTTCTTCTACTTCTAGAAAGAAAAAGTTCATTTTTCTGATAATTAAAATAGTGAAATATTTTCATGGGGCCATAGAAGTGCTCCAGGCCCTCAGCACTGTGCCCACTGGACCTAATGGGTAAGTCAAGCCTGACCATGACACTCTGGTGTAATGTTGAAGACAGAAAATGTGGAAGTGCTCTGGAGAAGCAAGTGAAACTTCCACTAACACACAAAATTAGAATGAGAGCTGCTGTGGTTAATAAAGTTGCTGAAGATTAAACTCTATTTTATTTTCCCTTTGAACTATCTGGCTTTTCTACTTTGGTTTTTACAAACTCACTCTTAATGTCTATAAAACAACAGTGATGTGAGCCAGAGTTGGATCCTGGAAGAAAAGGAGGCCAAAGAAATGTATGAAGAGACAGGGGAAAGTGCGAGGGGAACAGCAAAGGCCTAAGGGACCAAATAAATAATCTGTGCCTGCCCATTCTTTTTTTTTTTTTTTTTCTTCAAACATTACTTGGGCTGCCCATTCTTTTTGAAAGACTTTCATAGATGGGTCAAAGAATAGGTAATTGGGACCAACAATTTGAAAATGATGTAATTTATTTCACCAAGTTTCTTATCATAAAGTTCTCAATTTTAAAGTCAAAATGAGTAAATTTCTCACTTTGTTAAAGAAAATGAAACAAAGCTACAAAAGAACCCTCCTATCAATGCAATTAGATGCCAGAGACAAGGGTTTGATCCCTGGGTTGGGAAGATCAGTTGGAGGAGGGCATGGCAACCCACTCCAGTATTCTTGTCTGGAGAATTCCATGGACGGAGATGCCTGGAGGGCTACAGCCTATGGGGTCACAAAGAGTTGGACACAACTGAAGCGACTTTGCATGCACTCATGCACACTTATAATGGTAATACTAAAAAATAATAAGAATAATCTTGACATTTTTGTGTTTTAATTACTTATGAAGCATTCCTACATACCTATTTTACTTGATTATTTGTGAGGTGACACAAATGAAGTAACTGAGATAAAGTGAGGACCATGTGGTAAAATGCCTTGTGTGAAGGCACTCAGTTGGGCTCACACCCCTCCCCACCTGTGCCAGATGCCAGCATGGAAATGTATGTAGGTCTGAGACTAAGAAAGGACATCCTTCTTTATATCTACAAAGAATACATAATTCATGGAACTATTTACATTAAGAAAAGCTGTGGAAAAAAAAAGAAAAGCTGTAGGATAAATATATAAAAAGCTTCAAAAGTTGTTCAAAGAAATTTGAGAACAATAGTTCATGAAATTTTCATAGCAAAATATCAACTGGTGGAAACATCTCTAATTTTTGAGCAATTGTGAATGAATGCCCTAGAACCCTCCAGGACATATTCACTGGATCAATATCAAAGGCAGAATAAGGTCCTTGGTCAACTCTGCAATAACACAGGTAGCAAAGAGAGTGGGCCTGGATTCTGGTTTCCTGAAAAAGGAACGACTGTCATTTTTAGATTTGCTTAATATTGAGAACATTTTGAGGGGCCTCTACTATTTCTAGGCCAATTGCTTATTTTTTTCCCCTCCAATTTTCTGTTCTCCACATCCCTCAACTGTACACTCACCCACAATGTCTTCACTTCCACAGGGCCTTGTCATGATGGTCAGGGCGAGGGCCCCCAGAATCAGAGCTCTGTTCAGGACCATCCTCTTCTCAAGGTAGTCTCAATAGTGACTGTTCTGAGTTGCAGGGCAATGGTGAGGGCTGAACTGAGAAGGAACTCTAAAGACACCCAAACTATTCTCTGCCTGGTCAGGTTTTGTCCAATCAGAAAAATCCCCTGTGATGACACCTCAGTTACTAAATGAAGACTGTGTACTAAGAGGCCTGAAAGGGGCTGGGAAATCCCCTGGTCCTGATGCAGCCTCCACTCAGAGTGGACCAGAGGGATCTTTCTATGAAAGGAGGGAGAATATTAAATCAGCCTTCTCACATGTGTGTATGTCTGCTGGTGACAAGAGGAGTGGGAGTTTCTCTGCAGCCTCACGGACAGATGAAGACATTGCTATTATGATGTCTTACAGGATATTCTGGATTATAGCTTCTACAAATTCTTTCCTGAGTTGGGCCCCTTCCCTGGCAGCTCTACCTCCTCCCCTTTCCTGGCCTCCATAAGTGGATTAACTCTTTCTCTTTGCTTCTGGAGTGCATATGTGTGTATGCATGTGATGCTCAGTTGTGTCCAACTCTTTGTGACCCCATGAACTGTAGCTCGCCAGGCTCCTATGTCCATGGGATTTCCCAGACAAGAATACTGGAGTGGGTTGCCATTTCCTACTCCAGAGGATCTTCCTGACCCAGGGGTTGAACCCAAATCTCCTGCATTGGCAGGCAGATTTTTTTACCACTGAGCCACTTCACAAGTCACATACTACATATGGAATTGTCTGAATATTGAGCTGATTCAAGTCATTTCTGCTGGTGGTAGTAAAGGAATATCTTTGCCTTTTCTACCTGTAGAAATTCAGTTGAGTAAATTATTCGTCTCATGCTTTCAAAAGCTCCAGTATTTGCACCCAGGGCAATGTAAGTACTTAGGGTGTCATGTAATGTTGCCTAAAATAACTACATGATCTTTCATCTGATTTTCCCCCTGTTTTGAGTATTCTTTGTGCTCTGTGTTTTGCTAAACCTATCTATATTTAAAGGAATTTGGGGAGCATTGACTACGTTAATGGATGCTCTGGCTGACTTGCTATATATAGTTTTTTTTTTAAATTAAAGAATATCAAGTCAAATACTGAGGGTAGAAATCAGGGGACTTACCTGATTTAGAAAATTGATTTTCTTTTTTTAGTATACTCAATATTTTCATATTCTGCCTCAATATTTTTTTGATGTTCTGATTCTATAAACAAAAATTTAGGCTAATTTAATATTAAAGCAGAGACAAAAACACCTTTAATACTGTTCTAATCAAGTAACAGTGCCTTAAAAGAGGAAATTTTAAGACAGTTGAATAAAGCAAAGTGAAAGATTACTCTCTTAGGGTAGCCTCTATGACTACATTCCTTACTGTGTGAATTTGAATTTCATTGTAAGTTTGACACTAGAGTAAACAGTGGTCTAACCCAAAATTTTCTCCTTGGTGTTTAGAAGCCCTGAAGGTTTTCCTTCAGAGTTAAAGAATTTAAAAAAAAGGAAAAAAGAAAAAGAGGAAAAAATCCTCTGTAATAGAAACTCATTAACTTGATAATGGGTATGCTAAATGCAACTTGGTACCCCTTAAGCAATTTCAGAAAATGGCAAAAAATTTAAAACCAAGGTGAGATGTGAATTCGAAAAAACTTCTGCACGTTCTCTCCACCTACCTGCCTCGATATTTCAATTATCCTGCCACTTTAAAACACCAGGAATTTGTGAGGGATTAATGACTGAGCTAAGTTCAAAGACAATTTTTAAAGGGGAACTTATTTTTCCAAAAAATGGATTTTCTCTGTGTTATGGAAGCCATAGTTTAATGGGGGTTTCATTTGGAATCAATCACCCTGTCCTTGTTAGATGTTCCTCAGTTTCTCAGCACTGTCTTACCTCACAGTGACAAAAGACTATAAAGAAGATTGAAACAGAAAGAGACCTGGCGTCTAGTGCTGGCTGTGACTAGTAATTAGGCCTTGGTATTGCCAGGAGCTGGCCTGCTACTCACAACTAGGTTTTGGTGTTTTCTTGGTGAACATAAGCAATGTGATACAACACCACCAGACAACCATCCTGTGAGCAGGGTGGATCAAAACAGAAAACAAGGCCACTTAGTAGTGATGTCTCAACATAGACAAAATATGAAGTTTTCAAACCACAAAAATGATCAAGCAAGCTTATCTCCTAGATAATGTGAATGACCTCTGCTTCTTTACTAATTACAGCTTTAACCTCGGTATAGTTTTCCTTTCTCCTTAGAAAGATTTATTTAGATGCCTAATTATAGGATAACCCCATACCAACACCTGACAGAATCCAGCTGAGGACAGAGTCACTGATTCTTAAATTGTCCTCAAAATCACCAATTGTTCAGTTGTTAAAAGTTGTGTCCAGCTGTTTGTGACCCCATGGACTGCAGTATGCCAGGCTTCCCTGCCCTTCACTATCTCCCAGAGTTTGCTCAAACTCATGTCCATTGAGCAGTATGTGAACTGAGAACTTCTAGATGTACAAGCTGGGTTTTAGAAAAGGCAGAGGAACCAGAGATCAAATTGCCAACATTCATTGGCTCACCTAACAGGATCCCAAACCCTATAGTCATTTAAGGGTCAGTTTTATGTGATGCCTAGGCTATGGTCCTCAGTTAATCTAGGTGTTGCTCTGAAGATACCTTACAGATGTGATTAAGGTTCGAAAATCAGTTGACATTAAGTAAGAGAAATTATTCTAGATACTCTGGGTGAGTCTGGACCAATTTCATGAAAAGTCTCAAGAGCAGAGCCAGTTTTCCTGGAAGAAAGGGATTCCACTGTGGGCTGCAGCTTCAGCCTGTCCTGAGAGTTCCAGTCTGCCTTTCCTGACAATAGCTTGCCCTATGGGTCATGGACTTGCCTAGTTCAACCTCACAATTGTGTAAACAAATTCTTTTCAGTGAATTTCTTAAAAGACATCCCTAGTAGGTTGTATTTCTTTGGTTTCAACATCATACTGACATGTCCGTGAGTCTCCATGGTGAGTTGTCTCCCTCACTATGATGAACAATAAAACCAACTTGTTCATCCATGGCCGTGCTTCTGATGGTCCTTGGCTGAAGACATTAACAGCACTTCTTTAGACTGTTGTGAGGAACATACATATGCTGCACCTGGAATTAAAAATTCCCAGGGCTCTTTAACTGTACTTGCAATACATTAATATCATCTCCATTTTACAAGGAGGACACTGAATTTCAGAGAGGTGAAAGAATTTGCTCTGCACTCATCAGCTGTGTGATGAGCTGAAATGTGACAAGAGCAAGCCATGAGTCCTTGTCGAGGGAGGGAGTGAGGGGGTCTCCTGTGTGGCTCCAGAATGCAGTGTCCAAGCATAATTAGAATAGATATTTGACCCCTATTGGTGGCCTTATCGTTCTTTCTAGTCTCTACCATTATGGACCAGGAGAAATTTCGAGGTTCTATTTGAGATATGCTTCTTTTACCATGCAACGTCCTCTTTTCAGTAAACAACTATGCAGTAACAACTATGCTTTTTTTCTGGATCCAGACTTATCTATTTAATACCTTAAAGAAATGACTTATGATTTGGAAAATGGTCAAAAGTTTTCTTGATGATGCCTTAGAATTTCATCTACTAATATTTTTTTTTATTATCTTTATTTTCTTTTCTTTTTTTCTTTTTTTTTCCATTTATTTTTATTAGTTGGAGGCTAATTACTTTACATCATTGCAATGGTTTTTGTCATACATTGAAATGAATTAGCCATGAATTTACATGTATTCCCCATCCTGGTCCCCCCTCCCACCTCCCTCTCCACCCCATCCCTCTGGGTCTTCCCAGTGCACCAGGCCCGAGCACTTGTCTCATGCACCCAACCTGGGCTGGTGATCTGTTTCACCCTAGATAATATACATGTTTCGATGCTGTTCTCTTGAAACATCCCACCCTTGCCTTCTCCCAGAGTCCACAAGTCTGTTCTATACATCTGAGTCTCTTTTTCTGTTTTGCATATAGGGTTATCGTTACCATCTTTCTAAATTCCATATATATGTGTTAGTATACTGTAATGGTCTTTATCTTTCTGGCTTACTTCACTCTGTATAATGGGCTCCAGTTTCATCCATCTCATTAGAACTGATTCAAATGAATTCTTTTTAATGGCTGAGTAATATTCCATGGTGTATATGTACCACAGCTTCCTCATCCATTCGTCTGCTGATGGGCATCTAGGTTGCTTCCATGTCCTGGCTATTATAAACAGTGCTGCGATGAACATTGGGGTGCACGTGTCTCTTTCAGATCTGGTTTCCTCGGTGTGTATGCCCAGAAGTGGGATTGCTGGGTCATATGGCAGTTCTATTTCCAGCTTTTTACAGTTAAAAAATTAAATTCAAATTAGGAAGGTTGATTGTTAAACAGGCAGGATCAGAATTATATCTTGGGTGGGAAGTTGAAGAGAAGTCTCAGATCTCACAGGCTGTGGGTTGCAGGTGAAGTCCAAGCAAGGCAATGCACTCAGTAAGAGATAGAAGATGAACTTTCTGTCTTTAACCTGATTTTGCCTCTCCTTTTCCTGTTATCACACAATGAACGTTGTTCTAGTTGCTTCTGTCTTAGGTCATAATTTTAGCATAAACTAAAATTATTAGTGAATTAGACTAAGAGGACAGAATGGTCTCTGTTTGTTTCCAAGGCAAAACATTCAATATCACGGTAATCCAAGTCTATGCCCCGACCAGTAATGCTGAAGAAGCTGAAGTTGAACGGTTCTATGAAGACCTACAAGACCTTTTAGAACTAACACCCAAAATGATGTCCTTTTCATTATAGAGGACTGGGATGCAAAAGTAGGAGGTCAAGAAACACTTGGAATAACAGGCAAATTTGGCCTTAGAGTATGGAATGAAGCAGGGCAAGGCTAATAGACTTTTGCCAAGAGAATGCACTGGTCATAGCAAACATCCCCTTCCAACAACACAAGAGAAGACTACACATGGACATCACCAGATGGTCAACACCAAAATCAGATTGATTATATTCTTTGTAGCCAAAGATGGAGAAGCTCTATATAGTCAGCA